CCCACACAGGGACTCGCTCACTCAGGGCCCTGTCTATGCTGACTCAGAGGTGTGTGGACTGGATATTTTATTTAAACACTGACCGTGGGTTTTGTAAAATGAGCAGTTAAACCCATTGTGGAAATCTGAAGCAGTGGACAGGAAACCCGGACTGTGGGGCTCCCATTTCCCAGTCGGTTCCTTATCTGTGCCTGGGATGATCACAGGAAGAACAGGACTGGGCTGTGCAACTCTTCAATGAGCTGCACGAGTTTGTGGGAGCAATCATCAGACAAATGGGAATGAATGGAGCTTGTCTCCCACACTGTGGAACCACTTCCAGCTCTGAGGACTGACAGGCACACAGTGGGGAGCAGGAAGGTCAAATGAGGCTAAAGACTGATAAATCCCCTCGACCTGATTGGATGTATCCTAGAATATTAAAGGAAGTAACTACAGACATAGTGGATGCACTGGGAGTAACCTTCCAGGAATCTTTGAATTCTGGAAAAGGCCCAGAGGATTGGAAAACTGCCAATGTCACACCTTTATTTTGAAATGAGCGGAGACAAAGAACAGATCACTCTTGGCCGGTTAGCTTTGTGGAATGTGATAGTGTCGACATGGAGAAGTTGTTTTCCCTTGTAGGAGAGTCTCAGATGAGAGGGCGTCATCTCAGAATCAGGGGATGCATTTTAAGACAGAGACGAGGAGGAATTTCTTCTCACTGAGGGTAGTGAATCTGTGGGATTATTTAGATAGGGCTGTTGAAGCTGGGTAATCGAGATGAGATAGAGTTTTAATGGGGCAGGGAATCAAGTGTCATGGGGAGCAAGTAGAAAAGGGAGGTGAGAATAATCAGATCAGACATGATCTTATTGAATGGCAGAACAGACACAAGGTGCTAAAAGGCCTACTCTTGGTGCTGTGTTCACACAATCTCTGCTGAGATTCATGAACTATCTCCTTCAAAGTCTGGCACTGTTTCTCTACTGAGTAACTTATTTTCCCAGTTCACTTTAGCCAGTCTTATACCCTTATAATAGCTGCTATTTAACTTTGAGAAAATAGCTTTAGATCCACACTTCTCTGCCTCCAAATTGACATGAAATTGTGTCAAATTATGATCAATATTACTGAGAGGTCCATTTGCGATGAGGTCCTTAATTAATCCAGTCCATTGCACATTGCCAGGTCTAAAGTCCCTGGTTAGTGTTAGAACATACTGCTCGAGGGAATTATCCCAAATAAACTCTCTCAATGAATCTTCCAAGCTAGATTTCCCAAGCTGATTCATCCAATCTTCATGAGAATTAAAGGCTCCATTATAACTTCACTAATGCTCTTCCTACAGTGTGATAATTGTTAGGAGACTATACACTGCAAACACAAGTAACTCCTTATATTGTCTAATTGTTACCTTTACCCGCTTGGAATACATATCGATATGTAAAAACTACTTGGGAAAAACTGCAGAATTTTGCGCTATTTGGAGATTCCCTGGATTGCAAAGGTTCTTGCCATGTGATTTCTTGGAAATACTGATAACAGTTTCACTTTTGCTGTGGATTACTCCTTTTTTTTACTGGATAAACAGCTAAGCAAATCTTTTAAGGAAATAAGAGATGGGGCTTAATACCTTAATTATTGGAAAAACCTGCCTCAAAAAAAAACTGTGAAGATCCACCGCTTAGAGCCAGACAGTAATACAGTATGGAAACTTACCCTTCAGTCCAACCAGTTCATGCCAACTATCATCCCAAACTAAACTATTCCCACCTGCCTGCACTTGGCCTGTACTCCTCCAAAACATTTCTTACTCATGCACTTATGCCTCAGGGATCAGTGTTGGGACCGCAATTGTTTACAACTTACATAGATGATTTGGAGTTGGGGACTAAGTGTGGTGTGTCAAAATTTGCAGATGACACTAAGGTGAGTGGTAGAGCAAAGTGTGCAGAAAACACTGAAAGTCTGCAGAGGGATATAGATAGTCTAAGTGAGTGGAAAAAGGTCTGGCAGATGGAGTACAATGTTGATAAGTGTGAGGTCATCCATTTTGGTAGGAATAACAGCAAAATGGACTATGTTTTAAATGGTAAAAAATTGCAGCACGCTGCTGTGCAGAGGGTGTTGGGTGTCCTTGTGCATGAATCGCTAAAAGTAGGATTGCAGGTGCAGCAGGTGATTAAAAAGGCAAATGGAATTTTGTCTGTCATTGCTCAAGGGATGGAGTTTAAAAACAAGGGGGCTATGCTGCAGCTGTACAGGGTCCTGGTGAGGCCACACCTGGAGTACTGTGTGCAGCTTTGGTCTCCTTACTTGAGAAGAGATATACTAGCACTGGAGGGGGTGCAGAGGAGATTCACTCATTTGATTCCAGAGTTGAGAGGGTTGGATTATGAGGAGAGACTGAGTAGACTGGGATTATACTCATTGGAATTCAGAAGAATGAGGGGAGATCTTATAGAAACATATAAGATTATGAAGGGAATAGATAAGGTGGAGGCAGGGAGGTTGTTCACTAGCAGGTGAAACTAGGACTAGAGGGCATTGCCTCAAAGTAAAGGGAAGCAGATGTAGGACTGAGGTCAGGAGGAACTTCTTCACCCAAAGGGTTGTGAATCTGTGGAATTCCCTGCCCAGTGAAGCGGTTGAAGCTACCTCACTGAATGTTTTTAAGGCAAGGCTAGATAAATTTTTGAACAGTAAAGGAATTAAGGGTTATCATGAGCGGGCAGGTAAGTGGAGCTGAGTCTCAAAAAGATCAGCCATGATCTTTTTTAAATGGCGGGGCAGGCTCGAGGGGCCAGATGGCCTACTCCTACTCCTAGTTCTTATGTTCTTATGTTATCTGAATGTCTTTCAAACTTTGTAACTGTGCCTGCATCCCCCACTTCCTGTGGCAGTTCATTCCACACATGATCCAGTGTCCATGTAAAAATGTTGCCGCTCAAGTCTTTTTGAAAATCTTTCTCCTCTCACCTTAAAAATATGTCCCCTAGTCTGGAAGTCCTCCACCCTAGGGAAACGACATCTGCCATTCACCTTATCTATACCCCTCATGATTTTATAAACCTCTATAAGGTCAACCCGCAAACTCCTACGCTCCAGTGAGAAAAGTCCCAGCCTATCCAGCCTTTCCTTATAACACAAGCACCCCGGTCCCAGCAACAGCCATATAATTCACTTCTGAAACCTCTCCAATTTAATAATATCCTTCCTATAATAAGCTGAACAGAACTGTACACAATTCACCAGAAGAAGTTTCACCAATATCCTGTACAACCTCTACAACGCTAATACTTCAAAGGTCTGAGCAATGAAGGCAAGCGTGCAAAATAGCTTTTTACCCACCCTGTCTACATGTGATGCAAACTTCAAAGAATTATGTACCTGAACCCCTAGGTCTCTCTGTTCCACAACATGACTTTTAATTGTGTAAGTCCTGATTATAAATCCTTACGGTGGTTTGGCGGCACTCTGAGAATTTAACGTTCTGATCTCCTTTGAGGAAAAGTGGGATGAGTGTTATCAGATCTTTGTTGACCAGTGCAGATATGAGGAGCTAAAAGGTCTCCTTTTGTACTGTAAACATCGATGAGTCTATGACAGATTCTATTTACCTGCTCTATCTTGATGTGTTGGTGAAGCATGCCGTTTGGTTTACATGGAGCAAAACGATTATAGCAATGGCCAGAAAGAGTAGGAGAACCAACAGACGGCCCAGAAAAATAGGGAACAAATCTGGATACCGGGTCTCTGTAAAATATCAACAAGGTTTCAACAACTCAGTAAAGGCACATCAAGCACTCTAAGGGGGAACATACAGTAATTAGTGATGGACTACGGAAAAAGACCCAACATCCAAATTCACTAAATAAATGGATAGGATCAAATGTAGAGAAAAGAAATACATATTATTGTGGAAATATTGATGACAGGTCAGAGATTGGACAGAATTACTTTTTAAACAGAAAAGAAGGACGAAAAGATTAACAAAGATGGAGTCATTAGCGAATTAGAGAAAGCTAGCTTGAAATATAAAAGCAAATAATGAGAGTTCCTCAAGACATTCTAAAAACAAAAGAGTGAACAAATTGAGCCTTTGTCCAATAGAAAATGTGTCTCTGGAATCAATAATGGAAAATGAGGAGATGGAGGATGAATTGAATAGATATTTTAGGGTCATAGAATCATAGAGCCGTACAGCACAGAAACAGACCCTTCGGTCCAACTCGTCCACGCTGACCAGATATCCTAAATTAATTTAGCTCCATTTGCCAGCATTTGGCCCATATCCCTCTAAACCCTTCCTATTCCTGTACCCATCCAGATGCCTTTTAAATGTTGTTATTATGCCAGCCTCCACCACCTTCTTAGGCAGCTCACTCCATACATACACCACCCCCTGTGTGAAAACATTGCCCCTTAGATCTCCTTTATATCTTTCCCCTCTCACCTTAAACTACGCCCTCTAATTTTGGTCTCCCCCACCCCCGGGAAAATACCTTGCTTATTTACCCCATCGATGCCCCTCATTTTTTTATAAACCTCTATAAAGTCACCCCTCAGTCTCCATTGCTCCAGGAACAACAGTTCCAGCCTATTCAGCATCTCTGTATGGCTCAAACCCTCCAACACTGGCAACATCCTTGTAAATCTTTTCTGAACCCTTTCAAGTTTCGCAACATCCTTCTTATAGCAGGGAGACCAGAATTGAGCACTTATTCCAAAAGTGGCCTAACCAATGTCCTGTACAGCCGCAACATGACCTCCCAACTCCTATACTCAATGCACTGACCAATAAAGGCAAGCGTACCAAACACCTTCACTATCTTATCTACCTGCAACTCTACTTTCAAGGAACAATGAGCCTGCACTCGATGGTCTCTTTGTTCAGCAACACTCCCCAGGGCCTTACCATTGAGTGTATAAATCCTGCCCTGATTTGCCTTTCCAAAATGCAGACCTCAGATTAAATTAAACTCCACCCGCCACTCCTCAGCCCATTGACCCATTTGATCAAGCTCCCGTTGTACTCTGAGGTAACCTTCTTCCCTGTCCACTACACCTCCAATTTTAGTGTAATCTGTAAACTTACTAACCACATCTCCTACCTTCACATCCTAATCATTTATATAAATGATAAAAAGCAGTGGACCCAGCACCAATCCCTGTGACACACTGCTGGTCGCAGGTCTCCAGTCTGAAAAGAAACCCTCTATCACCACCTTCTGTCTTCTATCTTCGAGCCAGTTCTGTATCCAAATGGCTAGTTCTCCCTCTATTCCATGTGATCTAACCTTGCTAACCAGTCTACCATGAGGAACCTGTTGAACACCTTACTGGAGTTTGTATAGATCACATTTAGCACTCTGCCCTCATCAATCCTCTTTGGTATTTCTTCAAAAAACTCCATCAAATTAGCGGACACAACTTCCAACACAGAGAGCCATGTTGACTGTCCTTGATCAGTCCTTGCCTTTCCAAATACAGGTAGACCCAATCCCTTAGAATTCCCTGGAACAACTTGCCCACACTGATGTCAGGCTCACCAGTCTATAGTTCCCCGTATTATTCTTACCACCTTTCTTAAATAATGGCACCACATTAGCCAACCTCCAGTTTTCCAGCACCTCACCTGTGACTATCAATGATACAAATATCTCAGCAAGGGGCCGAGCAATCACTTCCCTAGCTGCCCACAGAATTCTAGGGTACACCTGATCAGGTCTCGGGGATTTATCCACCTTTATGTATTTTAAGGCGTCCAGCACCTCCTCCTCTCTAATGTGGACATTTTTCAAAGATGTTGCAATTTATTTCCCCACGTTCCCTATCTTCCACATTCTTCTCCACAGTAAACACTGATGCATAATACTTATTTAGAATCTGCCCCATCTCCCGCAGTTCCACACATGGGCAGTCTTGCTGATAGTTAAAGGGTCCTATTCTCTCCCTATTACCCTTTTGTCCTTAATGTATTTGTACAATCCCTTTGGATTCTCCTTAACTTTACCTGCCAAAGTTACCTCATGTCCCCTTCTTGCCCTCCTAATTTCCATTATAAGTATACTCCTACTGCTGTTATACTCTTCTACAGATTCACTCAATCCCTGCGGTCTATACCTGACATTTGCTTCCTTCTTTTTCTTGGCCAGAACCTCAATTTCCCTAGTTATCGAACATTCCCTACACCTACCAGCCTTGCCCTTCACCCTAATAGGAACGTACTGTCTCTGGACTCTCATTATCTCATTTTTGAAGGCTTCCCATTTTCCAGCCATCCTTATACCTGCAAATATCCACCCCAATCAACTTTTGAATGTTCTTGCTTAATACTGTCAAAATTGGCCTTCCTCCAATTTATCTTTAACTTTTATTTTAAAACTAATAGAATTATGATCATTGATGCAAAGTGCTCTCCCACTGACACCTCAGTCACTTGTCCTGCCTTATTTCCCAAGACTAGGTCAGGTTTTGCTCCTTCTCCAGAAGGTACATCCACATGATCAGAAAATTTTCTTGTACACACTTAACAAATTACTCTCTGTCATACAGATAACTGAGATCTCCTTACAAATTTGTCTCAGTTCCACTCAAATAACTTCACTGGATGTATTTCTAGGAATATTCCCCGTAAGCACAGCCTTAATGTTATCCTTAATCAAAACCACCACTCCCCCTCCTCTCTTGTCCGCCTTTCTATCCTTTCTTTAGCATCTATACCCTGGAACATTAAGCTGCAAATCCTGTCCATCCCTGAGCCAAGTCTCTGTAATCACTGTGTTATCTCAGTCACATGTTCCCAAACATGCCCTGAGTTCATCTGCCTTACCTGTTAGACCTCTTGCATTGAAATAAATGCATTAATTTATCAGTCCGACCTCGTTCTCTGCTTTGTTCCTGCCTGCCCTGACTGTTTGACTTGCTCCTTTTCGCAACTTTATCAGTCTCAGACTGATCTCTTTCCTCACCATCTCGCTGGGTCCTCCCCTTCCACCCCCTTCCCCACCCCCAATGCTAGTTTAAATCTTCCCGAGCAGCTCTAGCAAATCTCCCCCCGTGATGTTGCTGCACCTTTTGCCCATGATTCCTCCTCCCCGCACCCCCCTGCCCTGTGTAACATGAAGAAGGCAATGGGCCCCCACTGTGTAACATGAAGAAAGAAATGGGCCCCCATGTGTAACATGAAGAAAGCAATGGGCACCCCCCAGTGGAACATGAAGAAGGCAATGGGCCCCCCCCCAATGTAACATGAAGAAAGCAATGGTTCCCCCCCCCAGTGTAACATGAAGAAAGAAATGCCCCCCCAAATAAAACAAAAAGAAAGAAATGGACCCCCCCCCAGTGTAACATGAAGAAAGCAATGCCCCCCCCACCACTGCAACATGAAGAAAGCAATGGGCCCCCCGGCCTCCCCCAATGGAACACGAAGAAGACAATGTGCCTCCCCCAGTGTAACATGAAGAAAGCAATGGGCCAGGTACTGGGAAGTAGGATTGGAATTGTTTGGTGGTAGTTTTTGATGGGTGTCGATAGGATGGGCTGAAGGGCCTCTTTCGAGATCTCTACGTCCTTCGGCACGGCTTTGTCAGTTTTACAGTTTTTGTACTTGCCATCTCACTTTTTATTTTATGCTTATCTCGTCTCTTGAGGAAGTTACATTCCAATCATAAAGAAATGGTCCCTGTCTTCGTGCTAGTCAATGTCCTATCTTTAGATCTGGACTTACAGACTACACGCGTTGACTTTTTTTTCCTTTTATTTCACCTATTTTTCCAACCAATCTGTTCGCTGATGTTATTACACACCACTGGACTAGCTGTGACTTGAACCTGGGCCTCCCAGCCCAGGGGTAAGGATACTACCATAGTGCCCCTCATGCTGCTGCTTATTCAAATCCTCAGTTGGCCACAACTGTTGCCAGTTGGCCTTGAATTTATTTCTGGATTGCTGCCGTAAGCCCCGCGCCACTCTCATTGGGTATGTGTGAAATGTCCATGCCCAGTACCGCTGCCAGGACTATCAGTGCCATCATTCTGTTTGGTTCAACAGGTTTGGGTACTCCCCAGGGGCCACTTTCAAAATGTCAGCATGTCACAGGCCAGTGCCGGCAGTGTCCTCTCTCTCTCCAGGGAGTCCTGCAGCACCTCAGGTACCTCCTGGAAATGGGACCATTCAGATTTGAGCTCCAACCGGAACATGCTCAAGGTCTGCAGCCTCCTGCGTCAGAAATGAATTGCACATCCGCCACTAGCATCGAGGCCTAGTTTACCAAGTGCCTTCCCAATGCCATCATGCTGGAATGTAGCAACTACAAGGGCATCTGTAATTCCTTCCAGTTACACAACAAGGAATAACAAGGTACTTACTGATGATATTAAGCTGGGTTCCGTTCCCGTACACATCAGACCACACTTTACAGTAACACACAGTTGCATCTTCAGGTTGAATGTTTATGATTATTAGAGTGGCAACATGACTGGTGATATTTCTGGTAGAATTAAAATGTCCCTGAAAACGTTCATTCACTTCCACAGCGCCTTTAGAACGGTGTGTCACAATCCATTGATGCCCTGTCATGTTACGTCGGTACCAGTGTAAATCAGTCTTCTCCAAGTTGATATCCAACACAGAGCAATGTACCTCAGCAGTTTGAGTCACTCTGACATTCAGCACTGGTGACTGAGCTAGGACAGGAAAACTTTTACCTGGAACAGAAACAAGTCCAAAGATCAGAACCAGAAAGCAGCATGGGGACTGTTTAATGGGATGGTCATGAGCAAGGTATTTAAATGTGAGAATATTCTGTAACACTGTCGCAGAGATACTTCAATCTCACTTCACTGTTTGACCAAATAAAGCCATGAATGATGAGGATTTAAAGTGGGCTGTGCAGTAATTATCCAGGAGTACTAGCTGTGAAGGAATTAGAACAAAGAAAGTACAAAGAACAATATAACACAGGAACAGGCCCCTTGGCCTTCCAAGTCTGCACCACCACATTTTGCCCTTCCATACTAAAACTGAATTACTCAGGAATATTAACTGAAAGCCAAAAGTATTAGTTTTTGATTAACCAGGACCCAGGACCATTAGCTGCAGATTGTCAGCCCCGGAATATTAACTGAAGGAATTACCCAGGAGTTCTAACTGTAATGTAATGTCAAGGAGTATTACCTATCATGCAGTAAACCAGGAACATCAGCTGTGCAGAATTAAATTAGAAGTATTTGCCACAACAGTGCAATGGTTTTCAAAATAGGGAGAACGCTGAAAATGTCATTTCATTTGAGGTCTTCTGGAAAAGGAGAATTCAACATTCCAGACCTAACCCTGATCTAATCCCTGACCTAATCCCTGATCTAATCCCTGACCTAACCCCTGGCCTAATCCCTGACCTAACCCCTGACCTAATCCCTGACCTAATCCGTGACCTAACCCTGACCTAATCCGTGACCTAATCCCTGACCTAACCCCTGGCCTAATCCCTGACCTAACCCCTGACCTAATCCCTGACCTAATCCCTGACCTAATCCCTGACCTAA